ATTACGGTGCATTTATTTTGCATAGAGAAATACATGAATATTTTGTATAGATAGGTATATAGAGCTTTGACTCTTAGCATTAAGAAAATTCAAATTAGGAGAATATATGACATTGGAGTGTAAACATCGCTGGAGCGTTTTCTTTGGCCCCATACGTTCAGTAGTGTCCGAAATTACCGCGGTGCCAAATTATTAGTTATTATAGTGTTTTTTTTTAAATAATTATTGAAGTTTGTGTGAATTTGTGAAAAGAAGAAATATAGCGCAAAGCGAATTTCCGAGCAAAAAACGGTAAGTTTTGAACTGTTGAAGTGAATTACACGAATGCATGTGTTTCCTTATTTGAAAAAACATATGGTGTACCACTATTAATGTAGGCATTTTTTTAAATTTAATTTATACTTTTTTATTTGAAAGAAAAATGCCACGACCCACACGAGGAAATATAGGTCGGCGAACGCGTCATGCAAATGCTACGGCATTACAAAGGCGATCACAGACTCCAGATGAACGAGCACAAGCTAATGCATCGCAGCGTGAACGTAATGCACGAAATAGATCTGTTGTACCTGAAATTATGCGTGCTGCTTTTAATTACAACAGTCAGATTAATTACAGTATGTACGGATATATTGGAATAATGGACGCAATATGTCCACATTGTGATGCGGCTAAATTTCCAGGTGAAACGCCCGGCATGTGTTGTGCTAATGGCAAAGTGAGATTGCCACCATTAGAAACTCCACCCGAACCATTGTCTTCATTAATTTTTGGGACTTCTGAAAATTCGAAGCACTTTTTGAGTCATATTCAACAATACAATTCGGCATTTCAAATGACTTCTTTTGGTGCTACTAACATTATTAGAGATAATTTTATGCCGACGTTTAAGGTAAATACTTAAACAGGATTGTCCCAATCAATCTGAATCATAAAAGTATTCTATAGTTTTAAAAATTATTATGCAACATATACCTAAAATTGCATACATGTTGCAGATTCAGGGCCAAATTTATCATCAAGCTGGTTCGTTATTGCCATACCCCGACGCTGATTATCAATTTTTGCAAATTTATTTTATTGGTGATGAAAATCGTGAATTGGATCAACGTTGTGCAATTGCTTTGAATACAAGACGAGAAATTATTTGTGAGCTACAAAGGTTTTTCCATCAGCATAAGGCATTAGTTCAATTGTTCAAAATTGCTCTCGATCGTATGCCATCTGATAATCACAAAATCGTAATAAGGGCTGATAGAACACCTTTTGGAGAGCATAAAAGGCGATTCAATGCACCGACAATTGATGAGGTTGCAATTGTAATTCGTGGTGATCAGTTTCAATCGCGTGATATTATACTTCATCGTAGAAATGAGCAATTGCAACGTGTATCGGAACTTCATCGTAGTTACGACGCATTACAATACCCAATATTGCATTGGAAAGGTGACGATGGCTACCATATCAATATACCAATGATTGATCCACGAACAGGTAAATAATATTTTCAGTGTGTTGACATTTCATCATTTGTAGAAATTTCTTAAGTCACATTTTCCACTTATTTTCAGGTCTACATGTACAGAAAAAAGTTAGTGCCATGAATTTTTATTCTTATCGATTGATGGTTCGTCCACAAGAACAAAATTATATCTTGAGATGTCGTAAACTATATCATCAGTACATCGTTGATATGTACGCCAAAATAGGAACAGAACGTCTTAATTTTGTTCGTTTCAACCAAGCAAAATTAAGATCTGAACAATATATTCATTTGCAAGATGCGATAGCGAATGATGCTAATATTTATGACATCGGACGTTTAACTATATTGCCATCTTCGTATATTGGTAGCCCACGGAATATGAACGAATATGCACAAGACGCAATGTGTTATGTACGAAAATACGGTTGACCGGATCTGTTCATTACATTTACATGTAATCCGCAGTGGGATGACATCAAAAACAATTTATTTGCAGGACAGTCGACAACCGATCGTCATGATATTACTGCGCGTGTTTTTCGGCAAAAATGTAAAGCACTTATGGATTTAATTGTGAAATTATATGTATTTGGGGAGGTGCGTTGCCATATGTACTCCATCGAATGGCAGAAAAGGGGATCGCCGCACGCACATATACTAATTTGGCTGGTACATAAAATAACTCCGGATCAAATCGATAACCTTATATCAGCTGAAATTCCTAATCACACTGCTGATCCTGAGTTATTTCAAGTTGTCGTTAAAAACATGATACATGGACCGTGCGGTGAACTAAATGTGAATTCACCATGTATGATTGATGAAAAGTGTTCGAAACGATACCCAAGGCAATTTACTTCAGACACAATAACGGGCAATGACGGATATCCGTTGTATCGACGTAGATCACCTAATGATAATGGCAAAACGGCAACCATTAGAATGCATAACCAGGAAGTTGAAGTTGATAATCGTTGGGTGGTTCCGTATTGTCCATTATTATCGAAAATATTCAACGCTCATATAAATGTGGAATATTGTAATTCTGTCAAATCCATTAAATATATTTGCAAGTATGTAAATAAAGGGAGCGATATGGCTATTTTCGGTGTTGCTGGTGATAATAGAAATGATGAAATTACTCAGTATCAAATGGGTCGCTATATTAGTAGCAATGAAGCTGTCTGGAGGATTATGTCGTTTCCAATGCACGAAAGACATCCTGCGGTTGTTCACTTGGCTGTACATCTTGAGAATGGCCAACGTGTTTATTTTAATGTAGCAAATTTATTGGAAAGAGCAGCGCAACCACCAGCAACTACGTTAACAGCTTTTTTCAAATTATGCGAAACTGATACATTTGCGATAACTTTGTTATATTCTGAAGTGCCTCAGTATTACACATGGAATGTGTCTTCGAAAAAATTTCAAAGACGTAAACAAGGAACAGCAGTTCATGGGCATCCTGGCATTTTCCAAACAGATGCAATTGGCAGAATATATACAGTACATCCAAACAATGTTGAGTGTTTTTATTTGAGATTGTTATTAGTTAACGTGAATGGCCCAAAATCATTTCAAGAATTGAGAACAGTCAACGGTCATTTGTGTGAAACATACCGTGAAGCATGCCAACTTTTGCATTTGTTGGAGGATGATGCACATTGGGATTCAACACTTCATGATGGATCTATTTCGGCTCATCCTCAACAAATACGAATGCTGTTTGCCGTTATATTATCAACATGTATGCCATCAAATCCACTTGAATTATGGAACAAATATAAACATAATATTGCAGAAGATATTTTAATTCGTATGCGTCATCATGCAAGAAATCCTGATTTGTTGATAACTTTGGAAATGTACAACGAAGCTTTGATAATAATTGAAGATATGTGTCTACGGATTGCAAATAAAACATTAGTACAATTGGGTATGACCGCACCAAATCGTGACATGCATGATCTGTTTGATCGTGAATTGCAACGTGAGCAGGAATTCAATTCTAATGATTTGCGTTTATTTGTACAATCGAATATAACCAAAATGAATATTCAGCAAAAACATGTATATGACACAATCATGCAAGCCATTTCCAATAATGCAGGTGGGTTATATTTCTTGGATGCACCTGGTGGTACAGGCAAAACGTTCGTTATATCACTGATTTTAGCCACTATTCGATCGGAACAGAAAATTGCATTGGCACTTGCATCTTCGGGAATTGCTGATACATTATTAGAAGGTGGCCGGACAGCACACTCTGCATTAAAATTGCCATTGAATGTACAGGTGATTGAAACTCCAACTTGCAATATTTCAAGAAATTCTGCTATGGCAAAAGTTCTGCGATTAACGTCAATTATTTTATGGGATGAGTGTACAATGGCGAATAAAAAATTACTAGAAGCATTTAATCGAACAATGCAAGATTTACGTGGTAACCAACAGCTTTTTGGTGGTGCTTTGATATTACTGTCAGGGGATTTTCGACAAACATTGCCTGTCATTCCTCGGTCAACTCCTGCTGATGAAATAAATGCCTGTTTGAAGTCATCAGTTCTTTGGAGATATGTACAAAAATTGACACTGAACATTAATATGCGTATTCACCTACAAATTGATCCAGCTGCCCATGAGTTTTCAAAACAATTGTTACAAATTGGTGATGGCAAAATACAAATCGACAGAACCAACGGATTGATCACTGTACCGAACAATTTTTGTTCAATTACGAAATCGATAGATGAATTGATTGAATGTGTTTTTCCAAATATTCTTCAGAATTACAGAAATCATGATTGGTTGAGAGAACGCGCCATTTTAGCACCGAAGAACATTCATATCAATGCCATTAATTTTCAAATTCAAGCAAAACTCCCAGGTGTAGTCACGACATATAAATCAATTGACAGTGCTATGAATTCATCTTGATTCATTATCCAACTGAATTTTTAAATTCATTAGAACCGGCTGGTATGCCACCGCATTGCTTGAATCTGAAAGTGGGTTCTTTGATTATATTATTGCGAAATATTAATCCACCAAAACTGTGTAATGGCACCAGATTGGCAGTGAAAAATTTATTGCCAAATTTGATTGAAGCTACGATCTTAACTGGTAAATCAAAAGGAGAAGTTTGTTTAATACCGCGTATCCCTATGATTCCAACTGATATGCCATTTGAATTCAAACGATTACAATATCCTGTGCGTTTATCATTTGCGATGTCCATCAACAAAGCTCAAGGGCAAACACTTAACGTTTGTGGTGTGAATTTGGAGGAATCATGTTTTTCACATGGCCAACTTTATGTTGCCTGTTCCAGAGTCGGTACCCCCAGCCGTTTGTTTATTCATGCTCAAAATGGAAAAACAAAAAATATTGTTTATCCAAATGTTTTGGATTAAGTTTTAAAATAGCTAGCAAATAATTAAATATATATTTTTTTTTTATAAATGAGTTTGATTTAATATTTCACTTTATACGTAGCGAAGCACGTACCGGGCCGCTAGTGTATTTAATAGATTTAAATTTAAGTTCCTCTTGTTACCGACCAATGACATGCTAAATAGTACAAAGGTACATTATTACCTGCTCCTGACATTATTTTATGTCACCTACCGGAATTAGTGAAAGTGGATTTTGTGAAATTGGACCTTTCGAACATTGAGTTATTAATACTATGACAGAGAACACACAGTATAAGTCGCATGAATATGCGGATATTCACCTAATTTACGGTGAAGCTTGCTGTAATGCCAGAGCTGCTCAAAGGCTCTATGCAGAGCGATACCCCAATCGTCGGCATCCGGGTCGTGAAATATTTGCCCGGACCTATTGGGAAATATATGAAGGTAAGTGATTTTTACACCTTTCTTGTTTGCTTGCTTGTTAACTATCATTTTTCACTTTTTAAGGTCGCATAACTGGAAGGCGTGGTAGCGAAACAGGACGTCCTGAAACGGTACATGTTGAAGTTGTGTTAGAGGAAGTGGAACTAGGTCCATCAACTTCAGTGAGAATAATGGAAAGACGAACGGGAATACCAAAAACTACAGTTCACAAAGCTTTAAACCCATCAATTTCATCCCTACCACATTCAACGTGTTCAGGCTCTACAGGAAAGAGATTACCTGTCGAGGGTTAGATTTGCCGTGAAATGTTGCGAATGCATGAATCAGACCCCAACTTGTTTAATAAAATAATTTGGAGCGATGAATCATCATGCAAACATGATGGTTATTTTAATTTACATAACCTTCACAGTTGGCAGATAGACAATCCCCACGAAATGAGAGAAGATCGTTCGCAGTACCGGTACAAAATAAATCTATGGTGCGGTATTTTTAATTGTCAGATATTGGGACCTGTGGAACTGCCGCCAACGCTCAACTCTCACAGTTATTTAGAGTTCCTTCAGGAACGGCTTCCAACTCTTTTAGAAGATGTACCCTGAAACCTGCGGCGAAGACTATGGCTGCAAAATGGCGGGTGCTCTGCTCACTACGGGCGTGAAGTAAGAACTCATTTAGCGAAACTTATCCTCGCCGATGGATTGGACGATACGGGCCAATCACGTGGCCCGATCGATCGCCAGACCTGAATCCATTAGATTTTTTCTACTGGGGCTATCTTAAGGACAAAATTTATTCAAAAACAATTCAAAACGAAGAGCGTTTGCGCGAACAAAAAAAGGGAACTGCTGCTGAGATAGCCCAATTGAGTTTAAGATCTCTAAAAGCGTCTTTTCTTAAAAGGTGCCAAGCTTTATTAGAGTAGAAGGTCGCCACTTTGAGCATAATTTGATCAATAAATGAATAAATTTTTCTTCAAACAACTCATGTATATTTTATTTCACGTGAACCCATCTTGCACAAAAATTATTCATAGATATAGCCCTTTTTATAGACTCTAGTCCGAATTCCGGTAAGTAACATAAATAATGTCAGGAGCAAGTAATAATGTACCTTTGTACTATTTAGCATGTCATTGGTCGGTAACAAGAGCAACTTAAATTTAAATCTATTAAATACATTCTAGCGTGTCTCAGTCCTTTACCCACAAAAGCGGCTATAACTTTTTTTCTATTCGAAACAGTAAGACTAGCACCTTTCTGAAATCTTTGTTAAATGAGCAATTTTTTGTGTTTAATGAAAGTTATAGCTCAGTACATTTTTTTTCACCAGAGATAGTTAAATTTGGGGAAGAGAATATCAAAAAGTTAAAAATCCCAAAATAGTCCTAATTTTATGATGGTTCCTTAATATATTTTAACTACATTGCATTTGAGTATGGAGAAGCAACTATCTGGAAGTATTTTACATAAAAAATGTACTAAGTATAGCCTGGTTTGTAGATGCAGTTAAAGAAAATACATGAAAAGGCACGATTTTTTTTTAATTAAAAAAAATGTAAATATTTCAAAAACGGTGACACTTCTACCTGAAATTTTGTTGTTTATCAGAGAGCTCACCCATATCTCATATTACTAAAATTTTTTGTAAAATGAATTTCTATAGTTATCTTTTAATAAAACTATTTATTGGACACATGTCTTATTTATGGCTAATAAACGAGGTTTGTTTTTACAGTTTATTGTATAATAAAACATTGTTTTTGACTTGGTAACTTTTAGGTAACTTTTTTTGTAAATTCTGGTCAGAAATTTTTTTGTCGTGTGGCAACCGTGGTCCGAACATGGTAATAGTCTGTTCCCTTACCGGAACGTTACAGATTCAATTTTCGCCTTTCAATTTTCAATAAACTCGCACTTTTTCTCTAACACACTAGGTTTGTATAGTAACTTCTCCAGTAAAAGATTGCAGCGGGAGCGTAAAAGCAACATAGAGCGTAAAATTGAGAAGAAGAGAAAACTAGCAGAAAAATTTATTGAACACAAAACTATTAAAAATTTGCAAGTGAATGGTGGTTGTACTGTTTTGACATTTCTCTTGGAGTTAAATTTTAGCGCACATTGTTTTACACATTTGCAAACAGAACACATGCATTTTAAAGAATTTTTGGACAAAAATGAGAAAAATTACGCTGGAGGTGAAGCTCACCAGCAATAATATAAAGCATATAAACCTGTAAGTATAAACATTAAATTAATGTACTTAATGTTCACATATAATTTTCGTATTATGTATTTAGATGCTCAATATCAACAGGAGGTATTCGCCCAGCTGGAAGAACTTTTCGAGGAAGTAAGGTTTTCTCCGTCTCAATCAGTAAGTGTTATTGTATATTATGTACAAATTTTAATATGGGTTTTAAAAATTTGATTTTTTATTAACGGCTTTGAATCAGTTGGTTTTCTTGGACCCAGCGGAAATGATGTTGCAGCAAAAGTAAGTTGATTATTATGTATGTACATTAGAGTGGTTAAAAAATTTTTTTTTGGAAATTCATAAACGCTACCTCAAATTATTGTTATTTGTGATAAAAAAAGAGAAACGTGTTTTTTATATTTTGAAAAAAAAGTTTTCTTAGAGGTCGTGCTGGTCGGTTTTTTTATAAAAACGCTGATGTCCTCAACTTTTTTATTTTCTTGAGATGTTAAAATGCAGCTAAACATTTGTTTTTTACATATAATTACTCTGGTATTATTATTGGGGAACATTCCCGTAATTACATACCTGTCTTGGGCAATTAGAATGGCCCTTGTGCCCGAAAATATGCTCTCGAAACGATACTTGTAAAATTAAAACGTTGATACTGAACGATTTACGCATTGTCATGGGTTGAAACTTATTACCAGGGGGTTTCTGGGGTTGCTATTTAAGGATCCGTAGTCAGTTTTTTCGAAATTCAAAATGGCGGATCCGAAATGGCGGTTCATTTTTTTTTTAAATGATTGATGAGTTTCAGACAAATCCAATCATTTTGGATCCACCATTTTGAATTTTGAAAATCTGACATCATATTCGTAATCAGCAAACCCAGAAACCCACTGGAAACAATGTTTAAAACGTTCAGTATCAACGTTTTAATTTTAGTACTTTTTTTTAAATTTGATCGCCATATTGGATCCGCCATTTTGAATTTAAAAAAATTGACTTCAGATTCGTAATCGGCGACCCCAAAAACTCTCAAGTGCCAGGTTTCGAACAAATCCAATCATTTGTTAAAAAAAATGGACGCCATTTTGGATCCGCCATTTTGAATTTCGAAAAACTAACTTCAGATTCCTAATTAGCAACCCCCCTGGTAACAAGTTCCAACCCATGACAATGCGTAAATCGTTTAGTATCAACGTTTTAATTTTACTAGTGAGCATATTTTCAGGAACTAGACCCATTCTAATTGTCCAAGACAGGTGTGTAATTAAGGGAAAGTTCCCCAATAATATCAGAATATTTATATGTAAAAACCACATTTTTTAGCTGCATTTTAATATGTCAAGAAAATAAAAAAATTGAGAACATCAGCGTTTTTATAAAAACGCGAACAGCGCGACCTCTAAGAAAACTTTTTTTTTTAAATAAAAAATACTTGTCTCTTTTTTTATCACAAATAACAATATTCTGATGTAGCGTTTATGAATTTCCAAAAAGAGTGTTTTTATGAACCACTCTAATGTACATACTAAAGGTCTGCATCGGAATTCAGTTTGCTTCACTGTGAAGTTTTCTTCAAATATGTAAACTACTCATACTCTAACAAAAAGGGTATGAAAGGAAGAGGAGTGAAGATATTGAGGTCTGTATACATTAAAAAGAAGTACTCAAACAAATGATGTTCCGAAAAAAAGAGGAACATAAATCAGCAGTACCATGCTGTTAAACTTCCACAAAAAAAGATGTTCCTTCACAAGTATTTTTTTAGTATTGTTGGAAGTTTTCGTTTAATGCTACATAATGTTAGAGCTGACTCTTATATTAAATAACAAACATCGAGAAACAATGTAAGGCACTCCGAATATTTAGTCAATAGCATATTTTTATAAAGAAAGTGGACTAATTTTATACAAAGAACCAATTTTTAATTTTACAATACGACACTCATACATATGAAGTAGC